CTTATTCACAGATGATCTGATATTGTACATAAAAAACCCTAAAGACTCCATCAAAAAACTATTAGACTTAATAAATGAATTTGGCAATGTAGTAGGATACAAAATTAACGCCAAGAAATCTATGGCATTTTTATACACCAATAGTGAACTTACAGAAAGAGAGACTAAAAAAGCAATTCCATTTACCATCACACCAAAAAAATTAAGATACCTAGGAATAAACTTAACTAAAGAGGTAAAAGACCTATATGCGCAAAACTACAGGACACTGAAAAAAGAGATAGAGGAAGGCATAAACAGATGGAAGAACATATCATGTTCACGGATTGCTAGAATCAACATCATTAAAATGTCCATACTACCCAAAGCAATCTATAGATTCAATGCACTCTCCATTAAAATACCAGCGGCATAATTCACAGATCTAGAAAAAACTCTCCAAAAATTCATCTGGAATAAAAAAAGACCCCGAGTAGCCACAGCTATCCTGAGAAAGAAGAACAAAGTAGGTGGGATCTCAATACCAGATTTCAAGCTGTATTACAAAGCCACTGCTCTCAAAACAGCCTGGTACTGGCACAAGAACAGACATATAGACCAATGCAATAGAATAGAGAACCCAGATATTGACCCAAACCACTATGCTCAATTAATATTTGACAAAGGAGTCATGAACATACAATGGAGTCAAGATAGTCTCTTCAATAATTGGTGTTGGGAAAATTGAACAGATACATGCAAAAAAAAAAAAATGAAACTAGACCACCAACTTACACCATACACAAAAATAAACTCAAAATGGATAAAGGACTTAAACATAAGATGGGAAACCATAAAAATACTAGAAGAATCCACAGGCAGAGAAATCTCAGACATATGCCAAAGCAATTTCTTCACTGATACTGCTTCTAGGGCAATGGAAACTAAAGAGAAAATAAACAAATGGGACTACATCAAAATAAAAAGCTTTTACACAGCAAAAGAAACCATCAACAAAACAACAAGAAAGCCCACTGTATGGGAGAACATATTTGCAAATGTTATCACTGATAAAGGCTTAATTTCCAACATTTACAGGGAACTCATACAACTTAGTAAAAGGAAGATAAATGATCTAATCAAAAAATGGGCAATGGACCTACATAGATACTTTTCGAAAGAAGACAGAAGGAAGGCCAAGAGACATGTGAAAACATACTCAAAGTCACTAATTATCTGAAAGATGCAAATCAAAACGACAATGAGGTACCATCTCACACCTGTCAGAGTGGCTATCATCAACAAATCAACAAACGACAAGTGCTGGTGAGGATGTGGAGAAAAGGGAACACTCGTGCACTACTGGTGGGAATGCAGACTGGTGTAGCCACTATGGAAGACAGTATGGAGTTTCCTCAAAAAGTTAAAAATGGAACTCCCATTTGACCCATGATCCACTTCAAGGAATATATCCCAAGAAACCAGAAACACCAATCAGAAAGGATATATGCATCCCTATGTTCACAGAAGAACAATTCACCATAGCTAAGATTTGGAAACAGCCTAAATGCCCATCAGCAGATGAATGGATTAGATAACTGTGGTACACAATGAAATACTATGCTGCTATAAAAAAGAAGGAATTCTTACCATTTGCAGCAGCATGGATGGGACTGGAGAGCATTATGCTAAGTGAAATAAGCCAGGCAATGAAAGAAAAATACCGCATGATCTCACTCATTTATGGAAAATAAAGAACATTATAACCTGATCAACGAAAAGATAGATACAGAGGCAGTAAAGCATCAAACAGACTGTCAAATTACAGCGGGAAGGCTGGGGAGTGTTGGGGAGGCGGGGAATGAGATCAACCGAAGGACTTGTATGCATGCATATAAGCACAACCAACGGACACAAGACACTGGGGGGTGGGGGAGATGAGGGCATGCGACAGGGGGTAGCGGAGGCTGGGGGAAGGTCAATGGGGAAAACAAAAAAGGAGATATATATATACTACTATGTGTAATACTTTAAACAATATATATATTAAGATTACCAGATTGCCCAGCAATCCCTCTTCTGGGTTTCTACCAGAAAACTTGAAAACATTTATTCACAAAGATATATGCACCCTGAGTTCATTGCAGTATTATTCACAGTGGCCAAGACATGGAGACAACCAGTGTCCTTCCATAGATAATTGAAGATGTGGTGCATATACTAGTATACAATGGAATACTACTCAGCCATAACGAAAGATGAAATACTGCCATACATGAATGGACCTTAAGAACACTATACTAAGTGAAATAAGTCAGTCAGAAAAAGCTAATAACCATGATTTTACTCATATGTAGGATATAAAACTTAAGCTCATAGACACAGTCAACAGTATGGTGGTTACTAGAAGGAAGGGGGTTGTAAAGGGTAAAGGAGGCAAAAAGGAAGATGATTTGACTTTGGGTGGTGGGTACACAATGCAAGATCATGTATCATAGAAATGTACACTTAAAACCTATATGATCTTATTAACCAATGTCACCTCAATAAATTTAAATAAATAAAATAAAATAACAAAAACAACATCCGTCTAAATCTGTGTTTAATCTTTGCTCAGTTTCAACTTCCAGTGCAGCTCTGGTTGGCTCCAGTCTCTAGTCAGCTATCTACTTGGACAGAAAATGGCCATGAAGGATCCAGTCTCGGTGAGAGCTCCACTTCCAGCTATAATAATTTATTTTTATTTTTATTTTTATTTTTTAATCCTCACCCGAGGACATTTTTCCATTGATCTTTCAGAAAGAGTAGAAGAGGGAGGGAAAGACAGAGAGAAACGTTGTGAAAGAAACACATTGATTGGTTGCCTCCTGCATGGGCACCGACAGGGCCGGGGAGGAGCCTGCAACTGAGGTACAGGCCCTTGACTAGAATTGAACCTGGGAACCTTCAGTCCACAGGCCAACATTCTATCAACTGAGCCAAACTGTCCAGGGCTCACCTATAATAATTTTTAATGAGAACTATAATAACAAGTATAATAGCTAATGTGTATTAATATAATAAATCAGCACTAACATTTATTAATATTAAATATTGTTCAAGGTCACACTGCTGATAAATGAGAAGCCATTTTATGCCAAAGGCTTTGCTCTGGAAAAATATGAGGATATGGACCTTATTTCATTTTTAATACCACTTTTAAACATATAAATAACATTAATACATACTTTGTGAATGCATTGATGAACTGGTTTCAGATGACAAAAGAGGGAGAAGGAAAACTTGTCTCTTACTAAATCAAGGTAACAAGGTTGTGACTGCTATAAGATGTTGTTCTTCAAGAACTGTGGTTCTGTGTTTTGACCTGATTAGTGGCTCTCTGAAGAAATGGCTCAGAAGTTTGCCCTGTTTCCCCTACCTTGGAAATATCTCAGGACTGAAAAAGTCTCCCTGATGGCATTTGTTAAAGCATTTTAAGACAAATATATAGCTACTTAGAGGAAGGCATACAAGATTGGGCAAGAAGCAGATACACCAAAAAAGCTTGGGAAGGAATAATCTGGATAAAGCTATAGATGGGAGACTAAGGACCTTGAAAAGCTGCCATGTACTAGTTTACTGGGGAACCTGATGGCCATCCACAAGCTCTCACCTCTGGCTGATATTCAGGCTCTGCACAAGCAGGAAGTGAGGGCTAATGCAGAGTTGTAAACTGCCTGGTAAATGTTGAAGGTCTAGCCTAACACACACACAAAGTCCATCTGCAAAAACTAGATTTTTAAAAAAAATCTATATGTTGAAGGGAATTACTGTCACATCACTACTTGACTGAAAAGCTAATAGAACAGAGACTTCAGAGGCCACACACAACAAAGACTAAAGATGTTTAAAAAAATTAGTTCAGAAAAGTCACTAACCAAACAAAAAGAACTATAACAAGCAGCAACAATAATCCGTGCAGAAAGAGAGAATCTTATTTCCAGAATTGTGATACTATAATGTTTAAAACCTTCAGTTTTCAACAAAAAATGTATGAGTCATACAAAAAAATCAAGAAAGTACAGCCAGAACCTCTCTCACATGTAGGGTCTCTGACTCTATCATGTACACTGTGTTTCCATAAATATGTATCTATCAAATATGGTTATTTTCTAAAAAGAAAAAAAAAAGTACAGCCAATGCGCACAAATAAGTAGAATCTGTTGCTAAAGAAACACTTTTTTCTTTTTACTATCAAAAGGATTTAAATAAACAATTTTAAATATGCTCAAAAAGCTAAAGAAAACTGTGCACAAAGCACTTGGGGAAACCAGGAGAATAATATCTCACCAGAGAATGTCAATAAAGAAATCTATACATATAAAACCCTAATATGCAAATAGACTGAACAGCAGAACAACTGGTCACTACAATGTGCACTGACCACCAGGAGACGCGCGTGGAACATGGCAGGTGTTGGCCACGGCAGGATGGTGGAGCCGGTGAGTGGGGGTGCCAGACTAAGGCGGGGCGCTGGTTGCTGTCATCAGGGAGAGCCTATGTGGGTTACTGAAAATTCTTTGTTCCCGCATGCCACGGTCCCGCCTGGTGCTTGTACCTGCTGCCAGCACTGGTCCCGCTTGCACCCACTGCTGGTGCCAGAGCCACTGCTTGCACCCACAACCATCAAAGATTATGAATGAAGCAAACACAAGGTAAAGAAAGATTGAACTCCTAAGTTGTAGATATTGTATACCAGAGAAATTACACTACTCAAGCCAATTTACTACTAGATAGAAGTGAACATTAAATTCTTTTTTATTTTAATTATTAAAGAATCTACCTCATTCTTTTAAAATATGGCTCCTTACAACAAATTCCTGCATTATTCTTCTAGCTATCCTGCTTACTTGGTGTAAGAGGAGATAACACAGAAGGTGGAGAGAACGTCCTTGAGAGGAATTCTCTACAAACTCCTTTTCCTTCTTACCACAACTCCTCTGAAAGAACGGAAAATCAAACACAAAACTAGAATTACTTACCTGGATTCAGCTCTATGGACCGACTCCAATTGCCAGTCTCATGGAAGACAGAGCAGGACACAATAGACACATTGCCATCTGCCCAGTGGCACGTGCTCTGGACAGTCACTGTGCCATTGCTCCAATATTCATACGCGGGGACGCAATCTCCCCCTGGGGTCCAGGAGATCCGGGCAGCCGGCCTCCCTGCAACTGCCTTGCACACCGCAGTTCTATTCTCGCTTTGAAACAGGGTCACCTCAGGGGCCACTGCAGAGATGAAGAAAGTGTTTTAGTCCTAACACATTAGACATGGAATTTAGCGAGATATTCCTTTAAGTCCAAAATCTGGTTTTCTGAAATACCACAATGCATAATGTTCCTTACCTAACACTTGGAGTTGATATTCATAAAAGAAATTCCCATCATGTGCTGCCACTATACACCTGTAATGCCCTTCATGAGTGATGGCCACTGGGTCAATCTGAAGGGCAGGAATCTGGTCGGGTCTGTTGAGCCAGGTCATTCTCTTGTCAGTGCAGTTTGTTTTTGAGATCCTATTTGTGTCTCTCCGTTGGGTTCTGATGCAGGGCGGCTTGTCTCCGAGGAATATTTCCCATGTTGTTATGATCACATTTGTCAACAGGATAGGAGAGCAAGAGAGCACAGCCTTTGTATCCACCAGTACAGGCAGGGAAATATCAACTGGACACACACACACACACACACACACACACACACACAGAATAAAAAAGAAAAACTTGGTAAGAAATTCACATGTTACATTTTCCACATCATATTACATAATGTTTTACTAGAACATTATTTTGCTGGTGGTCTTATTCCAAAAATATTAGACTTACATTGAAAAAAATTAAACATTACCAAAATACAAGGTGTCCCCCCCAAAAAAATGTATACATGATTTAACAGTTGACAACTCACTTTTCTCTCCTTTTCAGGTTTAATTGATTTGAAATAATGGGTGAAGCCAGACTATGTTTTGAACAAAGAAAATTTATCCTAAAGAGCCACTAGACTTTTTTTAATAGAGATACATAAAAGATAAAGTTTACAGTACAAAACCTGCAACAGTCGATGAATTGTGGGCACACAAATACCGAACTGAATTATTCTTTTTTTAAAATACTATCTAAATATTTGTGTATTATTATCCATCTCCTAACTCAATGACTGCCCATCAGCAGATGAGTGGATTAGAAAACTGTAGTACATCTACACAATGGAATACTACGCTGCTGTAAAAAAGAAGGAATTCTTACCATTTGCAACAGCATGGATGGAACTAGAGAGCATTATGCTAAGGGAAATAAGCCAGTCAGTGAAAGATAAATACCACATGATCTCACTCATTTGTGGAATATAACGAACTAAATGATTCTTTTTTAAAATATATATATATTTCATTGATTTTCCACAGAGAGGAAGGGAGAGAGACAGAGAGTCAGAAACATCGATGAGAGAGAAACATCGATCAGCTGCCTCCTGCACACTCCCCACTGGAGATGTGCCTGCAACCAAGGCACATGCCTCCAACCGGAATCGAACCTTGGACCCTTCAGTCCACAGGCCGATGCTCTATCCACTGAGCCAAACCAGCCACGGCTAAATGATTCTTTATGTTTGTGATTCCATTGCTTCGCATTATTAGCAGTGCCTAGACCAGAAAAGTCACCAGTTGAAAACAAGCATTGACAAAAAAAACTATTCCCTTCTGTAGATACTTCTAAATTCTGAAATTGAGCTGTATGTTAATAAACACTGATTATATAATCAGTCAAGGTGTGTATACATTTTTGGGATGCACTGTATATATAACATATTAAACCTAATCCAAAGATTAACTCATTTTCTCCTATACTAGTATTATGTATTATTAGTTAAACAGTATGAATTATATATGTGAACACATTTTTAAGTATTTTTAAATTAATTCAGGTGTTTTGATATCCATGGAAAAAAACAAGAAAACTCATTTCTCAACTAAAAGACAATGATAATGAATCTTTTGGTCAGAGATTATTATATTTATTATATATCTCATATTTCCTGGGGTAGAAAATGGAATAACTAATGATGTGGTTGTTTCCTTCTAAGGTTTGATGAGAGAGAATAAATCAGTAATAACAAATCTAAAAGCCCATCCCTAAGGGTGACACTTCAGGCAAAAATAAATATGGAAGGTAAATGGTATTAAAAATAATAAGATGGCATTCAGTTTGAGCAAGCTGGGAAAATTTTAAGTTTTTTACTTTTATGTGGAGAACCAGAAAGTCAGCAAAACTAACAGATTCTTCTTTCCTTCCTTCTCAGTTATACAGACTATCAAAGAGATCAACTATAAACTTGTCTCACAGATTTTGTTACCATATAATCACTCTAATAATGAGGATTCAATATAGAAGTTGACTCTTTTTCTCCATCTTTTGAAGTAAAAATTGATTCCTGCAACCTACAAGTATTTCCCAGCGTGGAATCTCACATTTTCCCCATAAATTGACATAATGTGTCCATGACTGGTAGGGGTTTGCTAGGTATACCTGTTACACCTCACCTGTAACAATGATGCCCGTAATTTCATCATTTTTAGCATGAACTGTACGGTAGGGCAAAATTTTTATGTGAGTGAAGCTTGCTTGTGCTAAACTCTGCATTAATCTCTCTCCTCTGTTGGTGTCACCTGCCTTTTCTGTGATGTACTCAAGCCTTTGAATTTCACAGCCAAATAAAGATCACTTAACTAGATGAGGAAGAGGGGGGATTTAAAGCAGATCTGAAAGGCAGTTAAATATTAAATTTAAAGAGACATTTATTTCAGTCCCAAATCTGATTATCTGAAATGCCACAATGTACAATGTTTCTTACCTAACACTTGGCTTGTTGGGAACCACTAGAGTTAGATGTCGGTAAGCTACATGTGCACAAGGGAAAGATGCTGAAGATAAAACCAGAAAGAAAAGAGACTGGTGAGGAGGCAAGTTTGAAGGCTTCTTAATTTCTCAGGAGTTTGAACTTTAGCTTGTAAACATTATAAGGCTTTAATGGTTTTTGCCTAATATTTATCCTCAAGATCTGATTCTATTTGTTTAAAGAAAGTACTAGGTAATCATATAAACATATGAATTTTAACAGGGCCAAGTACCCAAAGTATTAACTCAAATGGCGAGGAATCTAAGCATAGTAAGTATTCTATGTTCTTTCACCTTCCACCATGCTACAACTTTAAGTCAATCACCCTTCTCCTTTATAATGATAGTTCTTATGGAAATGCTATAATTTTATCTTTTCTCTATCATTCTTTTTTCTATAGTTTGCCCACGGCTGGTCTAGATACTACAAAGGCTCCTAATTCTATCTCTGTCTCAAAACTCTCCTGTCTTCAATTCATACCTTACATTGCAACTAGGCACATTATTCTATGCACAGATGTAATTCACTCAACTCTAACATCCTTCAGAGATCTCTCCCTGCTTGAAGAAAACATTTAAATGCCTTTGCTTTTCTTTGAAAGCCCTCTTTTCCAAAATTACTTATCTTTCAAATCCAATCACTCCCTACAGTGTCCCCCCACTTCATGTCTGTTGTACTAGTAACACTCCTTACTCTAGTGTTTCTCTTCAGAATGTGTAAATCTTTTGACTTTTTTATTTTAATACTCCTTTTCCTTTAAGACTCAGTTCCCCTGTGAAGATTTCTCTGACCCTAGGTGCTCACAGCTCCCTCCTCTAGACTTCAGGCACACTTGATATGACAGCTGTGCCCATTTCTGTGAACCCCCATAAAATTGAGCTCCCTGAGGGCTTTCTCATAGTCTTACGCATCTTGCTCATCTTTGTGTTCCCTGAAGAGCCTAGAACAGTGCCTGATAGAGCAAGATCCATAATTTTCAAATGGAATTTAACTGCTTTGGGGATGAAGGGGCAGGTTCATTCAGGATCCCTCACCCCACAGCATTCAGATCAGCATATTCTTCAGCTAGGCACAAGGCTGGCCCTCAGACCAGACCATCAACTAAAATGTTTATAAGAAAGTTCAATACTCCATCCCTTCAGAACAGGTCTCTAGGCGAATAAATACAAACACACACACAAAAATAACATATATTACCTTCTACAGGAGGTTCCAGTGAAGAGTTCCAGTTTCTAGATGAAGCTAGGAAAATATTCAGGTAAATGAAATCAATTTTAGGTACTTAAATGAAGGAAGCCATTGTTTCTCCACTAAAATTTATGTGCAACATGATAGAATATGAGTTAACCATAACTAACTTACATTAAAAGCCGTGCAAAACAGCCTTGGCTGGGTGGCTTAGTTGGTTGGAGTGTCATCCCATACACCAAAAGGTTGTGGGTCTGATTCCTGTTCAGGACACATACCTAGATTTTGGGTTAGTTCCCCCATACAGGCACATACAGGAAGCAACTGATTGATGTTTCTCTCTCCCTCTTCCTCTTCTCTCTCTAAAATCAACAGAAACATATCCTCAGGGGGGGATTTTAAAAATAAATACATAATCTTTTTAAAAAAGTATTGCAAAACAAATGAGTTGTTCCATCATTAAATGAAAAAAATATGTTAACATCTTAAAGTTACTTTCACAAGCTATTAATCAATGATTTTCCACTTATGAAACACCTTCTTTTGTACTTGACTACTATTTTTTGTATGAGGTAAACCTGCCTCCACCCCTTCCCTAGCACAATAGATTTGCCTATCAGGGGCACCCCAAGTGAGCAATCCTTTCTCCAGACACCACTCCTGATTAAAATTGTTTGGCCCAGTGGTGGGCACCTCACCTACCTGAACAAATTAGAGTACTTCCTCAAGAATTTTGGACCAGAACTAAGAAGAATGGTTCATTCTTCTTCCTTCCCCATTTTTTCTACTCTGGTGGTTAATTTTATGTCAACTTGGCTAGGCCATGGTTCACAGATATTGAGTCAAACATTACTCTAGATGTTTCTGTGAAGACACTTTTAGATGAGATTAACACTTAAGTCAGTAAACATTCAGTAAAGCAAATTAGTCTCCATAATGTGGGTAGGCCTCATCCAACCAGTTGAAGGACTTAAAAAAAGACTGACCTGGGAAAGGGAGTTTGGCCAGCAGACTGCCTTCAGACTTGAACTGAAACTCTTTCCTGGCCCACCCTGCAGATTTTGGACTTGCCAAGCTTCTATAATCAAATGAGTCAATTCCTTAAAATAAATCGTTCTTTCTCTCTCCCTCCACATGCACACACACATACACACACATACAATCCTGTTGTTCTGTTTCTCTGAGAAACCCTGACTAATATATCTACTTTGGCAAGAGGAAAATAGAAGCAGAGGAGGGCCAACCAGGAGAGAGAGAGAGAGAGAGAGTCTTTACCTAGCTAAAATTTCTAATTCCATAGTTCCAAGACCCCTATGCATATTTTCCTTTGGGTTTTATAGTTTCAGACAATCAAAGTAGTCCTAATCTAGTTCAACTTTGATTCTGTAAACCTTGTGTTTTGCAGCAAAGATTTTTTAAAGTATTTCTTATTATTTAAGGGCCTAAAAAAAAGTTCTTCCTGTGCGTTTAACCACTCAATAAGCATTTACCAGTCCTTTGCTTATAAAAATATACTCTTGCTTCCCATTCTAATTTTGTACCCAGATCTACCACATTTTAAAATAAACAAAGAAATTCGGTAAAGAGCTTAGAAATGAGCAGCAACAGGCCTCTGAAATAATTTGGCTTTTTCTAGTCAGCTGTAATTGGCTTGGGATGAAGGCAGCCTATTTTTGAGATTCTATTATATTTAGTTCATATTAGGCTCAAGAATCTGTTCCAGAAACAGATAAGAGGTCAGAGCTGACCTCAGAGGGCTTAACCAGATCAAGCTATGACTTAGATATTGCTAAAGCTCTAAAATCCATAGCACGAAATATAGCTTAGCCTTCCAGACCTCTCCCATCCTACCGCACCCAGCTTCCAATGGTTCTGGGGTCTGTCAGTTTCTTCCATTTTCAAATTCACCACCAACCAAGACTGTGTGTTTGTAATGGAAGAAAATTAGGATGTGGGTACTTTTGATGATGGTATAGTTGGAGTTGCTATTTGGAAGTATCAAGAGGAAATTTTAAAGTTTTATTAGGAATAAGGGGTATACGTAAGGTGGGGTAAGAGCCCTGGAAGAGAAAAATCAGGATCTGCAACATTTCCATAGAGGGCTATAACGTAAGCATCTGAGGCTTTGCGGTCCTTATGGTCTCTGTTGTAAGTATTCAACTCTGCTGTTGCCTCAAGAAAGCAGCCACATATAATGCTTAAACAAATAGGTGTGGCCTTGTTCCAATAAAGTTTTATTTACATTGTTTTGTTGGTAATAAATTTCTTTTTTATATATGTTTTTATTGATTTTTTTTAGAGAGAGAGAGAGAGAGAGAGAGAGAAAGAGAGGGGGATAGAGAGATAGAAACATCAATGAGAGAGAAACATTGATCAGCTGCCTCCTGCATGCCCCTTACTGGGCATCCAGCCAGCAACCCAGGCATGTGCTCTGACCAGGAATTAAACCAGTGACTTCCTGGTTCATGTTTCAATACTCAACCACTGAACCATACCAGATGAGCTAAATTCTTATTTTTTTAATTAAAAAATTTTAATGTTGACATAATTGCAAGTGTCCCCCTTTTCACCACACTTTGTGGCTGGCTGGATTTTGCCTATGGGCCATAGTTTGCTGACTCTTGATTTAAAATATGGTGTTTTGTTTGTTCTAACTTCTTGCATTTACCACAATTTAAAACAATAAACACCTATTGAACATTCTATTTTCTCCTGCTTACTTTGCCTTTTAAAAATAAACTAAATCTCTATTAACAAATTCTTCCTCAAATTAAATAAATTTCCTATTCTGTTTTTGCCATAACTAGCAACTTCCCCCCTCCCTTCCTGCCATCCTTCCCGTACCCTACGTGAAGTGTGCCAAGGATGGAGAGCACCAAGTAGGGTTCCCATGAAGAGAAAACTACAATGTGCCCTGCTCCATGCCCAGCTAGGGTAGCTGTCTGGCGAGCAAGAGATGGCAGCCCTGATAGACAAAGGTTACTGTAGTAGATGAGGGTTTTCTCTTGTGGCATTTGGACTCTACAGCCCTGAGAACTTCTGTCTATTTTAAAGGCATAGGCTCTTGTCAATAGAAAGTTCAAAAACTCTGCCTTAATTGATGTCTTTAAAGGGATATTTAAATTTTTTTCTTCTATCCTTTGGATTTTACTTCATATGCCCCATAGAAATTGTTATTTTAGTGAAAAAGCAAATATCCTTCATGCTCTAAACCAGTGGTTCTCAACCTTCCTAATGCCGTGACCCTTTAATACAGTTCCTCATGTTGTGGTGATCCCCAACCATAAAATTATTTTCGTTGCTACTTCATAACTGTAATTTTGCTACTGTTATGAATCGTAATGTAAATATCTGATATGCAAGATGTATTTTCATTGTTACAAATTGAACATAATTAAAGCATAGTGATTAATCACAAAACAATATGTAATTATATATGTGTTTTCTGATGGTCTTAGGCAACCCCTGTGAAAGGGTCATTCAACCCCCAAAGGGGTCGCGACCCACAGGTTGAGAACCGCTTCTCTAAACTATTAGGTTGTAGGCACTTCAATGGATTCTCATTTTAGCAAACTTGTCTTGGAATGTTGGAAATTTGGGCACATTAGTTCTTAGCAGATGTGCCTAATATGTGTCCGGAAACTAATAGGAGTCTGTTACAAGAGCCTGGTTTGCAATAAGTGGTGTCTTCATGATTGACTTGAATGAAGTCTTCAAACATTTTGAGTTTCAGTGATCTCCCAGGGGGATGGAATGTGGGCAAAACCTTCTGCTTAATAAAGGTTTTCCAGTGAGTGGAGACCCATAGAGAAATCTTCCTCTCAACCCAGATACCAAATCCTCCTACAATCAAGCAAAATCCACCTCCTTCCAAAGCATACCCTGAGAAGGAAAATCAATAAATTAGCCTTGTAACTTCTCATACCAGAGATAAAACTCACAAGTTAAAATGTACTCTTAAGTGTGCAAACATGATTGTTTTTAGAAGAGAAAAAAAATCATGCTTATTTCCACAAATATTCCTCTGATTATTTTTATAATGTTAGATATGCTTTTTACACTTCATTAGTTGTTAATATATGAGTTCTTTAGTTTTGTTGTCTCTATTGGCAGCTAGTTGCTATAGATACCAATTTCATATCAAGTATCATGACTTGATTGAAAATATAAAGTGTCCTTCTTGCTCAGTCTTGTTTGAAGTTTTGTCTACAGTACCAAAGTAGTACAACAAACATTCAAAGTTTCTGATTAGTGCTCCTGTTTTCTTTCTTTAATTTCTTCATATGAAATCAAATTTTCTTTCAAATTTATAAAGATTATAGTTTTATATTATTAACATCAGAAGTCTAATTAACTCTTTCACAATGTACATATACAGGGTGTCAAAAAAGTATATACACTGTAACAGTTGATAGCTCAATTTTGAAAATGAAATGTAGCTTAATAAATACTCCTTTTTAAATTAAATCTTTATTGTTGAAAATACTACATATGTCTCCCTTTCCCCCCTCATGTGCCCCTTCTAGCTAAACACTGTCTTTATAATTATTCAAAGTGTGTGTATACATTTTGTGGGGACACCCTAGGGGACACCCTATATATAGACTGAAACAAATGTTAATTGTGCTTTCTAAAAGATATTTATAGTAGAAAAGTAACTTAATTACTTATACTCATTTCTTTGGGCTGCCTTAACATAGGGTATCGCCAAAAAATGTATACACACTTTGAATAATTATAAAGGCAGTGTTTATTAAAATGCATTTCATTTTCAAAATTGAGCTATCAGCTGTTAAAGTGTATATATTTGGGGGGGGGGAGGGGTTATACCCTGTATATATAACTGCAAATTTGATCACTTAAAACAACAGAAATGTATTCTCTAATATTTCTGGAAGCCAGGAGTCTGACATCAAGGAATCCTTCCTTGCTTCTTTCAGGTTTTGGTCACTGCCAAAACTCCTTGGTGTTCCTGGGTTTATAGACATATTAATTCAGTTTCTATCTCACTTCACATGACTTTCTTCCCTGTGTCTTCTCTTTTAAGGACATGGGCCATGGACTTAAGGCCCACTCTAATTCAGGATGATCACATCTCAAGATCTTTTAGTTAATTTTTCAAAAATTCTTTTTCAAAATTGAGCTATCAGCTGATAAAGTGTGTATACTTTTTGTGGGGGACATCCTGTATATATAACTGCAAACATTCACAGGTTCCAGGGGGACAAATCTTTTGGGGGCCACCATTCAATCCACAACATTCATGCATTATCTGCACCCCTAAGATTTATAGTTTATATAGTTACCTTACTTATTTTATCCTGTAGTTGATTTTAAATATAGTTTATTCTGTAATTTTTCTAGATCACAATTGAGTATAATTTAAAAAGATATTTACTGAGTCCAAGAATGTATTGTGCAATCATTGGAATTATTTTTTCATGAAATTCTTAATGTAACATCACAAAAATAACTTTTTAAAATACAAAGAAAAAGTTAACTATAATGGCAAACAAAAGTTTGGGAGAGTGTACGGCTAGGTAAGGGGTACAGAAAATATATTACTAACATCTACTAAGACCTATTTTTAAAAGAATTTTAGAGTAATAACTTCTGTTTTAAAAATTGAATGAAAAATATTTTGAAAATTGTTTTACTCACTGAACACGTTCTCAAAATAGTATTAAATAAGCACAGAAATAATTTCAGAATGAAAAATGTACCAAAAATTTTACACATAAGCAGTTTTTCTTAAATCCTTAATGGAGGATATGTTTTTATTGAATATTTTAGAGAGAAAAGGAAGGAAAGAGAGAAAAACATCAATGTGAGAGAGAAATATCGATCAATCAATTGATCAATTGCCTCCTGTACAATCCCGACTGAGCACTGAACTGCAACAGAGATTTGAGCCCTAACCAGAATCAAACCTGAAACCTTTTGTGTATAGGATGATGCTCCAAGTAACTGAACCACCTGGCCAAGACAAAAAAGCAATATTTTGTTTAGACAATACAGTCTATAAATGCATATACAATAATTCAAACTCCAAAACTGTAAAACCTATTACAGTCATCAAGTACTCTCTTATTAGAATTATCATTAAAAAATGAGCATTACCCAAACTGCAATTGTTCTTACCCAGTTGCTGTATTGAGTTGCTTGATGCACTTACTCGCTCTGAAATGGGGTGAAGAGAGAAATATATATATTAGCATTTAATTTTCTAATTAAAACCACGTTTCTTCACATTCTTGAAGCCATCTTTGGATTGCAGTTGCCAATGAAAACACAAATTATGAAAGACAAACAAAAGTCTTAAAAAATGTACCCCAGTATGAACTTGTGACCAGATCTTTCTGCCTATTTGTTATACTCCCACTTTAGGCCCAAAATGCTTCTCACTATTTCCTGTCTTGATATTCAAATCAGAGTATTTCTTCTCCCAGGCTTATATGCATTTAGTCTATCTCTGGATAAAAGAGTTTTATTATCTACTACAGACTCTTTAGGAACCAGTGCCTAGTAAGAAAAAGTTTAGAAGGTCTTTGTTGATTACATACTGGCATGAAACAAAAAAGAATTTTCCTAAATATTGTTAAAGAAAATTATTGTTAATTTTCCTAAATATTGAAATCACATTATGTGAACAACTATCTATCAACTTCAAATTTAATAAGGCAAACTCAAATTGGGAATTGCTATAAACATATTTTGAGTTGCAACTAATTGCAAACTACTTGCTAGACATAGAAACACCATAGTAAATAATACCTCTTCTCCCCAAGAGCTCAAGATCCAGGCAAGGAAGCTGCTATTTTAAAAAGACAGAAACCATGCCATCTTGAATGAGACAGCTGCTCTGACTAGGAGCCCAGCCTCACCACCATCCAGACTGGCTTCAGACTCCACCCTCTACCCTACAACCACTCTGGCCAAAGACCTGCTACCTCAGCTACAGAACTATGAACACCGGGACTCCAGCCTCCCTGGTCATGGGCTCCTGTGGACCCTGGAGTGAGCTCCCCTCCCACTGGCCTGCCGCTTCAACCCTAGGCCCCACGTGGTGACTGAGCCCTCCATTGAGTCTCGTAGTGCATGACCCTCCTGCCAAGCCCTCTGCTTCAGCCACAGGCCTTGTGTGACTCAGTGTCTGGACCCTTTGGTGAGAGCAAAAATGGGGAGACAAAGAAACAACCCCTAAAGAAAAGAAAAGGCTGTCACCAGAAAAGGAACTAAAAGAAAGAGAGGCATGCAATATGTCAGAAAACAAACTTAGAGTAAGGGTCATACAATTCCTAAACCAGCAGGATGAGAAAATCAACAACTTATGTAAGAACCAAGAGGAAATAAAGAATGATATCTTAGCTAATAAAAGAGTAATATGCAAATTAACCATCACTCCGCAAAAAAGATGGCAGCACCCATAGCCACAAGATGGGGGCGCCCAGTCCCTCTCAACCCCGCCGGAGTCCCCCAATCCGGGGGAGGGGGCAGCCACTGAGAGCCAGCAGCATGAGCAGCCTGACTGAATGCTGCCCAGAGGCCCTCCTGACCCTTTATAAAAAAAAACAAAAACAAATTCACTGCCCACAGAGTGATCCCCACACACAAACCTGCAGCCTCAGGGTCTTAGCCTCGGAAGTGCCCACATCCCCACAGAGCGATCCCTTCCCAGCGGCAGCCTCAGGGTCTCAGCCTTGGAACCTTGTGCAGCCCCACAAAGTGATCCCCCACACACACACCCCTGCAGCCTCAGAAGTGACCCCCTCCCAGCAGCAACCTCGGGGTCTCAGCCTCAGAACCTTGCACACCCCCATGGAGTGATCCCCCCCACACACACACACCTGCAGCCTCAGGGTCTCAGCTTTGGAAGCTCCATGCCCCCATGGAGAAACCCCCTTCCAACAGCAGCCTCAGAACCTTGCACACCCCCACTGAGTGATCCCACACACATACTTGCAGCCTCAGGATCTCAGCCTCGGAAGCACCCACGCCCCCACAGAGTGATCCCCTCCCAGCAGCAGCCTCGGGGTCTCAGCCTTGGAGCCTTATGCATCCCCACAGAGTGATTCCCCCCCCACACACACACACACCTGCAGCCTCAGGGTCTCAGCCTCAGAAGCGCCCATGCCCCCAAGGAGCGATCCCCTCCCAGTGGCAGCCTTAGGGTTTCAGCCTTGGAACCTTGCACATCCCCATGAAGTGATCCTCCCCCCACACACCTGCAGCCTCAGGGTCTCAGTCTCAGAAATGTCAGCGGCCGCCCCTGGCGAGTGATCCTGCCCCACTGGCAACATCGGGGAGTCAGCCTCAGAATTTCCCTTGCCCCCAGCCGAGTGATTGGAATGTGTGTGTGTATGGGGGGGGGGAGGGGGAGGGTATCTGGGAAAATCTGCCCAGCAAACTTCTCCCATTGGGCAGAAACTTGTGACCGGGTTAGGGAGGTAAATGGGTTTTGTTTAAAATCTTTACAAACCGCAAAGGAAAACCCTGAGGGAGGGTTTCACATCAAAAGTAATTTGTAACTAATTTCTGAAGGTAAACTGCTACATTGCAGTTACATTACTGGAGAGTACCCAGTGTTCCGGAGGTCTCCGCAGCGGTGGTGCAGGCACTCCCCGCCCTAGTTCCTCAGCACCAAAGGCTGGGATTGAGCTCACCCAGGAAGGCCTTTTCCTCTACAGTTTTCACCAAGGCAGAGAGGTTTTGTAGAAATGAGTAAGAAGTGCCCACACACAAGTCCTAAAGATGCCAGGGCCGGCAGAAATAATAAACAAATGGGGAAAAGAGCAAAACCAGAAACACCACCAATCCCAACATAGATCATTTTTTTTCTTCAGATGACAGTGTGTTCCCATCTTCTTTGTCTTCTGGAAGCAAGACAGATTCAAGTACTGACAATTCTACCAAGGGAAAAGTTAAAGGAAAGAGAGGACAGAAAAGGAATAAAAGGAGAAAAGAAAGGACAAAAGATGAAACATCAAGAAAAATAAAGAGAAGGAAAAAAGGAGGAAACAACCACATTATATCATCTTTCCAAGGTCTCATGAAATTCCTATTTAAGGAATTTATTTTATGACACTTTTAGTTTGCGTTTACATTTTAACTGGTTTGTCAAAACCACAGCAGGTACAGTGTCCAATATGTTAAAGAAAAAACCCTATCTAATAAAGAGGGAATACGCAGGGGAGGGCAATTGGGGATGATCGGGCCGGCAGGGGAGCAGTTAGGCATTGATCAGGCTGGCAGGAGAATGGTTAGGGGGTGATCCGGCTGGCAGGCAGAAGTGGTTAGGGGCAATCAGACAGGCAGTCAGGTGAGTAGTTGGGAGCCGGCAGTTCCGAATTGTGAGAAGGATGTCCGACTGCCGGTTCAGGCCTAAACCAGCAGTCGGACATCCCCCAAGGGGTCACAGATTGGACAGGGTGCAGGTTGGGCTGAGGGAACCCCCAGAATTTCATGCACTGGGCCTCTAGTAGCTATGATAAAAAACGTAATAGAAGGTTTCAACAGTAGACTAGAAGAAGCAGAGGACTGAATTAGCAAATTAGAAGACATGGCAGAAAACACACCCAATCTGAACAGCGATTAGAGAAAAAAATTATAAAGCAAGAGGAGATACTAAGGGAGCTTTGGGACTACATGAAATAAAGCAACATACATATAATAAGGGTGCCAGAATGACAAAAAGAGAAGCAAGGATTAGAAAAATTATTTGAAGAAATAATGACAGAAAACTTCCCTGACTTGGGAAGAAAATAAGTCACACAAGCACAGACAGTCCCAAACAAGATGATTCCCAAAAGACCCACACCAAGACATGTCGTAATTACAATGGCAAACATTAATGAAAAAGAGAGAATTTTAAAGGCTGCTAGAGATAGATTGAGAATTACCTACAAGAGATCTCCCATTAGATTTATCAAATTATTTCTCAACAGACACACAGGCCAGAAGGGAATGGAATGAAGTATACAGTGATGCAAAGCAAGGGACTGAATCCAAGAATACTCTATCCAGCAAGGCAATCATTCAAAATTGTAAGATAAATCAGGAGCTTCACAGACAAAAAAGGGCTAAGAGAGTTTATCACTACCAAGCCAGCAATGCAAGAAATGCTAAAGGGACTGTTGTAAAAAAAAGAAATAGAAAGGAAAGAAGGAACACAGGCACAAAGAACAAAAATGGTTACAAAGAAATACCTATCAATAATAACCTTAAATGTAAATGGATTAAATACTTCAATCAAAAGTCATTGAGTGGGTGAATGTATAAGAAAACATGACACATATATATGCTGTCTACAAGAGACCCATTTCAGAAGAAGGGGCTCACACAGACTGAAAGTGAAGGGATGGAAAAATATCTTTCAGGCAAATGGAAATTTTAAATGCTGGGGTAACAATACTTATAATCTGACAAAATAGACCTTAAAGTGAAGGCCATAACAAGAGATAAGGAAGGCCACTTCATAACAAAACAAGAGGATATAACTCTGGTAAACATATGTGCACCCAATACAGGAGCTCCCAAGTACATAAAAAAACTTCTGGAAAATATCAAGGGAGAGATTGACAGCAATACAATCATATTAGGGGACATTAATGCCCCATTGATGCCACTGGATAAATCCTCTAGACAAAAAATCAATAAAGAAACACCAATCCTAAACAACTCATGAGATCAGATGGACTTAATTGACATCTTCAGAACATTTCACCCCAAAGATACAGAATATATATTCTTTTCAAGTGTACATGGGACATGTTCAAAGATAGACCACATATTGGGACACAGGCAAAATCTCTCCAAATTCAAGAAGACTGAAATTATATCAATCATTTTCTCAGATCACAATGGCATACTATTAGAAATAAACTACCATAAAAACAATAAAAAAGGTTCAAACACTGCCTTAACTGGTTTTACTCAGAGGATAGAGCATTGGCCTGCGGACTGAAGGGTCCCAGGTTCTATTCCGGTCAACAGCACATGCCTGGGTTGTGGGCTTGATCCCCAGTGTGAGGCATGAAGGAGGCAGCTGGTCAATGATTCTCTCTCATCATTGATGTTTCTATCTCTCTCTCCCTTACCCTTCCTCTCTTAAATCAATAAAAATAAGTATTTTTTTTAAAATAATGTGACATTTTAAAAAATATTCAAAAATTTGGAGGCTA